CATTAAAATTTAGATTGCCCCGGATGCGCCGCGTGAATGATGATTGCAGCTCAGGAGAGTTTCGCGATAGAAGATCCTTCGAAGTTTCCGTCGTCAACCGTGCATAAGGCACGATATGACCCTTCTCATCTGTTCCCCGCTTCGAAGGATCGCAAATATGCGGGGATGTTCCTTATAAACACCCTCGTGTTTCTACGTCAAGTGACACCCAACAGTTGTCAGCCAAAAGTGCTTGATTAACTTCAAAGCTTCAACCTAGGTGTCACGCTCAGCATGCTCAGTCGGCGCGCTATGATTCCTGGAAGAATATACCGTAATGATTTTAGAATTTTCTTGGGCAATATGCATTCTTATGTACATTTAGTGACTTGTCGATTACTTGTTGTTGCAAAGGTTAGTTTCGGTTTAATTGTATTAATACTTCCAAACCTACAGTTAAAAAATGTCATCGTTCTGAGTATTTTGCGTAATATTCATGATTCAAGAATTACCTAGCTATGTGGGATGAAACGAATTTTCATTTTAAAACAAGACCATATGTTCGAAGAGATTTGCTGCACCACGTTTTTTCAGCCATAATTTTCTCAGTAAAGTATTTCTATTGCTTTTATAGAAGTATATCCGAACAAGTCAATTTTATTGAATCCATCAGCAAATTCCTGAAACAGATTCAAGTAAAAGGCTATATCACCAATGATCAAGACACACATATTGATGTACACACCATGAAATTTGAAAACTACGTATTTTGTTCGAAATTACGTTTTCAAAATATATTGTTGGCCAATTCAAACCTTTGATCTGAATTCTTCAAGATAAAGGAAATTGTTGTCGCAAAAAGTCCTTGATCCTCTTCAGGTAGTAATTTTCAGTTGATTTTCTGGATAGTATCCTTATAGAATGTGTGTAAAAGACTGGAAACAAATTAACCAATAATGAAATGGAATTCCATCGCATGAAATGAACCTGTTTCCCGTTCCTATAGGAAGACCACAGTTAATGAGTTAAATCGCAAATCATGTAAAATATTCGGATCCGAAACTGCAGTATCTAGATCCAAATGAGGCCTTCAGAACCTCCTCCATTTGTGAACTACATTCAACCCCCGCACAATGGACTTAATTTGTGCAATATACTAGTCTGTTGAGTGAAAAGTCTGTTATGCAAATTCAATTATTAAACAATTAAAATGTTCACTTTTTACCATTAATTTTAAACCAACAGGTCTGTCATGCGGATTTAGTCCGTTGCGCAGGAGGGAAAGCCTCCTCCAGATGCGGTCCGTTGTGCAAAAGTCTGCTGTGTGGGAGGTCCATTGTGTAGGAAACCTAGGGGTTTACTGTATTATACTCCCAATAGGTACGCAAAACATTGAAGCACAAATCCACACACTTTAGAAATATTAGAAGGAAGCTTAGCATTTCACATAATCATTTTCCAGATATTTTTCAGATTTATGCGCAACAGAACCTTGAAAAAAACAATAATTAACAATAAAAATACAAAGCCTCGTTTTCAAATTTTTCTCTAGCATAAATATACAGTACCTAAAAAATTTAGTAATAAGTTGCAAATTACGCTTGAAACTTGATGAAACAGCAACCGCTCAATACGGCTTTGTTCCAGGCGCCTTTTCCAAACCACGCAACCTGTTCACTATATACACGCTTAAGTGTGATTAACAGCACCGGTCTTCGCTTTACAAAAATAATTCATTTCCTCATTATGCGTCAGTTAAGAAGAGAAAGGAACCGCACCTTTATTGAATCATGCATTTTAGGTCGCGTGACGTAGCGACAGGACTGCTGCAAACTTTCGTAACATTGATGTCATCTTTTAGAAGTCGCTTATTCTTTCATCACAATCTGGAAAAACAGGGTTAGTCCTGAAAAAGAAATATCCACGGAGCATACGCAAATGATTTCCGATTTCTGGAAAAAATATTGCACCATGACAACTTCAAAATAAGTTTGATGGTTGAGTCGTAACTCTTCTATCAGACTATAAATACACTGGATGAAACATATTCATCAGCTCCTCTAATAAAAAATGGCATTCGATATATACAGTATTCCTACTTTGAATAGCCTTTTTAAGGCACTGCTTGAATAAGAATTATAATTCTTCAGCGATTTTTGGCAGGTTTTCATTGCAGACAGTTCGAGGGAATTTTTTGAAAACATTGAAATCCACACTTGTTTTTCTCTTTCATTGATGGTTGTTCAAAATTAATTGGGCGAGAAGAAAAGATCGCGGGGAACTGGAAATAATGCAGAAAATCCTTTGAATTGATTTGATAATCTAAATTTCCTGTCTTTCATATGAGAAAGAATATAATGTTCGGATTAATTGCTATCGGACGACGCAGGAATCAGGAAACGAACCCCCGAAATCATGAAAAAGACATTTTCTGCAGAGAGTAATTTAATCAAGTTTGCTACTTTTCCAACTGACCTCACAGGTGCTGAAATTAATCAAAAATTCCGGCTGCCCTGGAAGTGACATGTCTCATACTGCATATGACATCAAATGTGCCTTGCTTCACCTGAGTGAGGGCCATTTGGGGGTGGTAACAGCACTAACAGGATGGCTGCAGAAAGGATTTGCTAACGTACAGTACATAATTACGCGGAAACTATTTTCTAGTCGACACGAGACTTTTAAGAGAGGCAGGATTTCACGGGAACAGGTTCAGTTCAGGGTTCCGGGGGTCAGGCGAAGCATACATCAGTGTTTTCTCTCATACCTATATGAAGAACGGGGTAGAAATTCTGGCTAATTCGGAACCGAGTTTGCTCAAGGAAATATTGCACAAATGGAAAAAAGAGTGATTGCTGTTCCGCTGAAAGTCACGCGAAACAAACACACACACACATTGAAGTACAGTCGTTGAGGCGGTGTTATACGAAGTCTACATCAAAATATCATCAGTTCAAAATGTTTGAAAAATCCCCCTTTCCAAAAGTTTTTATTTTAATCTTGGATTTTGCATTTTCTATGATAATCGTCAACCCTTTTGCTTTATCTGAAATTGTTTGATTCACCCAGTCCGAGGGAAATCAAAAAACGCGGAAGAAATCTCTGAAAATTTTGTTTCTTAAAATGACAAAGTAAGTTCAGGGGATAAAAAATCGATTCTAACTTCACCCGAATATCTTTTTGAAGATTCCCACCTGAGAATTTATGAGTATTTCAACAGAAATTTTCAGGAATTAAATCCATATAAGATATTTGATGTCTAAATACAATGGAAATTTTTCGTAATTGATTGAAATTAGGTTGGGTTAGGTTATTTGAAGGCACGCGTACCTAGGACAAAACCTGGAAGATGAATACTCAACCCATGTGAACAAGGAAATAGATTTCCTCGCTTCGGTTTTCTTTTAATTTTTTTATCTACTTGCCGGTAAAACCGATGCCATCCCCGCCATAAATTGATGTAGTTAGAAATAAATTAAAAGATTTTCCATTTATAATCCTCTTTCGAAAAGATCGAAAGCACGATCTGTGCAAAAAATAAAACCGCATAAATACGGGTCTTCTTTCCAGGTAGAGTCTTAAAATCTCTTAAAATGTTTTTTTTTCAGACGGGTTTGCTGAGAACGCCTTTGTCGGTTTGCATAAATAAGTTGATAAGCTGGTGCAGTACAGTACTTGGATATTTCTGGGTTCGCGCCTCATACAGTACTTGAATCCTGTTTCTTGGCTTTAAAAAAAACGACAGAGTCTCCGAGAATGCTTTCGTCGATTTGAATAATAACAAAAACGTACCTACTGTAGTACAGTACGTAAAGATTTATTGTCTCGCACCTTCACTACATAAACGCGGCGCACATATATCCGCAAGTTTTGGCACAAACGTACTGCGGGCTTTAACTTTTTTCGCGGAAGAGAAATCCCGTCAGAAATGCGCCTCTTCGGAATGTTTACTTTCGGATAGCAGCTTGATCAATAGCTTACACGCTCAGTAACGTCCAGATGAACTTCATCCCCTTGCTGGAGTTCAAGGTATTGCAAACATTTCTGGAGGCATATGAACGGGGGGAAAAAATGTCTAACCCAGTCGGAGAAGCCATTCTGTATCCGTTAACCTCGAAGGAACCGCTGTTTGTCTGGCCTCAACAAACGTCTGGGCTTTCTTTGGTGATCACAGCTAAAGCCGAACACCTGCATTTTTCTTTCGGAATTGCACACGCAATGAGAAACCCTTTTTCTCAGTTTATATTTGTTGAATTCCGCAGATTTCACTGGGTTCTAAATCCACTGAATTCCATTGTAATTACCTCGCGTTTTCAAAAGCCGACAGAAAAATGTCGTACTTCATAAAAATAACCTAGAAAAATTGAAGAACTGCTCCTGAAAGAGGAAACTAGTTCAGAATTGAAGGGAAACATGGTATTGTATCTTCTCACAAAGAATTCAGAAAACCTTGGTGCAGATTCATGCAATCAATCAATATGTCTGGATTATATAAAGTTTTTTGATCTGAGGAGTAGTTTATGAATTGTATGCCTTGATTGAATCAAGTGCTGTATCAAAGTTATTTCCGTCAACGGCGCAGTGAAGCATTGAAACCTGTTTCTCTTGATTGAAAATGTTCATGATGAATTTCCATCATTAACTAATGATGCTCATGAATTGATGAAAAACTTGAGTGACCAAAGCTCGCATCTGTTATCCATGCGAGCATATTCCGCATTACTGCAAATTACGAAAGTGTATACAAAATTTAATCAAGATTCCGTGATCGCCGCATTTTTGTGTGTGCTTGAATAAATGAACAATCTCTCAGACAGAATCTCGTTTGATGGTCTCTCTTTTTTTTCAACAAATGCAAGTGTTCAGATTTTTCTCATGCGAACTAAAACTCATTTTAAAAATTTGAATTCGGGGAAATTCCAATCAACACGGGAATTCTCGATTTACTGAATACTGTATACTGCTTTCACCGATCATCATCCAAATCCTCCATCAATGGAGTACAGTAATAAAGCCCGGATTTTCTCTGATTTCATAAGGAACTCGGGTATGGATGCATTGGAATCGTGACCATATGATGTGAAGTCTGATGTGAAGAAAAATGAGAAAATGACCCGAGGTGCGCTGATTTCCCCGCGTTGACCCCAGGTACGAGTGCCATTACGACCAAGAACAGCATGAGTCTGAGAGACAACGACTTGTTCTACTCTCCGCAAACACGTTTCGGGTTCATAGGCGAGTCCCCCGAGGCCTGTGAGGTCAATCATACCGACTTGCCACAGGATGACGGCATCGAAGCAGCACCAGTGAGATTTCAATTTGATTCTTCCAGCTGTGTTTCACGTGCAAAAAAAATGCACGAAGATAACATCTCGGATATAGTAATCACAAATTTACCACAGGTTTTCAAATTCCGAATGGAAATCTGTTGCCCCAGAAGTGTTTTTGACTGAGTTATGCGAAGCTATTTTGACCAGGATGTTTTGCGTGTTTCGCTGCGTTCAACTTTCTTTTCATTGTCTCCAAATTACTCTAATGTTGAGACGGCCCCAGCAATTAAAATGAAAGATACCACGGGTAAAACCAGATCATTAACGTAAAATAGATTCGAATAATGCTGGGACTCCATTAAGGAAACCCACTGCTCAGAATGTCTTGAGGGAATGACATGCTTTAAAAATAGTCCGGGTTAATATTTTTCACTTACACTGCAGACACAGGAAAGAGCCGCAAAAGCACCCAGAAGCGAGGAAAATATGTTCAAAATTACAAATAATATTAAGCAAGGACTTATAAGCCTTAAAAAAGGATTCAGACAGTCGAAAAACTGGTCTGCTATTTATCATGCCTGCAGCAAACATATTTGGCAGAGTGAGCCTATATTCTGAAAAAAATCTGACCGTCGACTGTTGATAAGATTATCAGATGGATTACGTGTATATCTTTAGCAGAAAAAAATTGGAACTCTGAATCTTTAACGAAATACTGTATCTTGATTCTTTCCTCAAGCGGAAAAGTGTTTCAATGTTCCTCTTAATAAACTGACTGAAACATAATGTTAGCACAGCTCTTCAGGCATAGCATATGGAAAAATGGAAGTTCAAAAAACGACATTTTGCTCAAACATATTTTTGATTTCGTCGAAACCTCCGCAAAAATCTTTTCCCGATGAAGATCCATTCTTTCAGGCTAAGGTGAGAAAATGTTTCAAATAGGCTGAAGCACTTCTTAAACCGCACTAAGCATTACTGTATGTTTCTTTGCATGCTTTATATTTATCATTTTTATTTCCAGGTCACTATTTCCGGAGTTCCGGCCATTCTCAGCAAGCAAACTCATTGGGCGCGAAGAATTTCGTGGGCCATCGTTCTCATAGTTTGCTTCAGCATCACTTTGGCGCAATGCTATGAGCGGATTCTGTTTTACTTGAGTGAGTCAACATGTTTCCTGAACATGCAAATTAAAACTCTTCCTTTGAAATGTGAAAATAGCTCCCGCAGGATAATTTGAATTTGTCATGCAATAATAAGTGTGGGAATAAATTATTGAGCAGAATTTATGATTCGACGATTTTTCAGCTCGAATTTTTCGCAAAATAAATCGTCTTCGTCTAGTTTAATGCTCGAAATCCAAGTCATTCTTGAATTTCCCGACAACGCAGATATTTAGGCAACTATTTATATTAAAATTACTTCATAGGATCAACAGCACTATTAAGACATTCACACACGACTACCAAGCAATGTAGCTGTTTTTAAATGAGTTTAGCTATTAAAATAAAAAAGCATGTATTAAAATCCCATTGTATTACATTCCTTCTTTTGCCCAGAAGAAGACTAATTTTAGAGCTTTAATGCTGTGGATCTGCACTGCCCCAAATTTATTATGCCAAATCTATATTTGACTCCTATATGCGTTCTACACTTGTGCGTATCGATCGTAGGCCACACCTGCAGTTTTCCGATTATTACAAAAATTGCGGCCTATATACCCGTGCGTGAATGAAGTACATGGTTCGGTTCAGGTACCCCAGTGACGGTCAACGTGCAGATTCAAAGGAACCACAGCCTCCGCTTCCCCGCTGTGACCGTGTGCAACAAAAACGTGTATAACCTGTCCAACCTGCAAACCCTGCTAGCGATTCGCGACATCGACGGGGTGACCGTGGCAACTCGACTCAACGAAAGAAACGAGACACCGACGCTGGCACACGTCGTCAGTGTCGGGAACATGACGAGCGACGCGGTTTGGACGAACACTGCCCACAACATCCATCTCATGTTGATTGAGGTGCGTCCAACTCCAATGCCGCGCCCATGACCTTGACGAAATGAAGAGAAATATTTGCAGAGCTTTTAATTCGTGAATTTCGTATCAATTTTAGCACCCGGTCTCTGCGGAAGTGCTGGAATTAAGTACAAGGTTTCCCCGGACATTCGGACACCCCCCCCCCCGATGAAATCTACGCAATTTAGCCCATTCGAGAACCCCAAGAAACTTTTTAAAATTGGGGCATGCACTCAACTTGACTGAAGTGATGAACGTACTGTTGAGATATGCCCCAAAGAATTAAACCATGCAGGCAATCCCTTACAACGTCCGCTGTTAGATAATTTATATGTGAAACTTGGGTTCCAGCTGCTTATCAGGTGATTGGATCCCATTCGCATATGTTCTTGAATGAGAATAAAATCGTGTTACCGACATTTCTGGAGATTTCAATGAGGAATAATCCCAGATAATTAGGGCAGACGAATTTAAAAAGGCTCAAGTAAAGTTCTCAGGTTTTCCTGTCTTAAGGAATGCAATTTTGCACATTGCTTTAATCAGATAAAGGAGTAAACGATACTTCAACAAAAAGAATGATGCAGACCAGCCGACATCACAGCTTTTTTGAAACTCAGTTATTTTATTCAGATCAAGTGAATCCGAATATGAAGAAAAAATAATATTTGAATTTAATTTGTCATCGAATTCTGAAAGTAAATGATATTAAAGGTATTTACTCTCTCCATTTTTTATTCTCTGATAATTTCCAGCAAATTAAAAGACAGTTTAAAACATAAGTCATTTCTCTTTGTGAGAGTCAGTTATTTTGGTGAAGTACTCGAAATATTGAGCCTTCATTCTTTAAAAATAAGATGGATTCGGAAAGAACAAGACTATGTGATTTTTAGCATTTATTTATTTATTCCGGCTATGACTACGGCAACTTTTGCTCATCATTCTGAGAAGCCATTGAATGCAAAACCACCGATGAAATGGTTTTAAATCAGAACGAGTTTCTGTTTACAAATTTTTGTCAAGTCTAGAAACATTTTACGAAGACTTTTCAGTCACCTAAAATATATATCTTATAATTAGTACTGTATAATATTCTGATAATGGTCTTCGACTGCCTAAAAACGTGCCAAAATCCAGCTAAAACCTTAAACCCTCGGTGAGAGTTTCAGCTCCCTGACTCCTCTCACTGGCACTTTGAATGCAAAAATGATGTGGATTTCGTCAGAAAATGTTTTAACTTGGCTGGAAAGTGCAAGAATTACGTCGATTTTTATTAAATGATCAATCTAACAACTCTCTTGACGACTCTTTCTCGTATTTTTTCGGTAAATTTGATTGAATCCAGGCATCTAATCGGGTTTTTAAATTGTTTCGCAGTGTTGGTTCGGGCGTGGCATGACATGCAACATGAGAGGGACGTGGAAGGCTATTTATACAGTGGCCGGGGTCTGCTTCACATATGAACTGAGTAAGAATTTTTATTTACACTTACACAAGCAGCTTAAATGTTGAAGTGTGATTTCATACAGGTATTATATTGTTATCATTCAAGGCCATGCTCTTACTACAGTATAGATTTTTCGTGGTTAACAATCGTGGATTTTTGTTTTTCAATGAATATCTTCCGATATAATGCTTCCTCCGCATGAGCAGGAGCGATGCTTTGTTTAAGTACATTGCATCTTTATTGGTAGAATGAATGCAATCCATTTACAATTTTAAAAAAATTCACCAATCGAGTAAAAACTTTATTTTCATTCTTGGGCATTATCAGTATTACTGCGGAAATAATACCTTTCTTGTGCTGCTTATAAACAAAATTTCCTTGCCGATGCGTTTCTTTGTCTTTCCAGAAGATGGCACCGTGTCGACAAGTGGCATGTTTAATAATATGTACATGAAAATGACGGAAACAACTCCGATAATAAAATCCAGCGAAGTAGGCTGGAAAATTCACCTACACGACCCAAAGGATATCCCTGTCCTCGACATTCAAACGCATGGTTTCACCGTTTTGCCTGGCTGGAGCAAAGACGTTCGTTTGCAAATTCGCGACGTGAGAGGAAAAAAAAATTCATCTGATTCATTAGTTTGAGTAAAATCTTTTCAGATGATGGGTATGCGTGAACTCAGTGAGGGAAAATGCTGAAATTTAATAAATTTTGGAAGAAGACGTGTCTTCAACGTTTGATGGTCGTTCAAACTTCTTCAAATACCTATCGAACAACTATTTTCAGATTTTCGATTTTTAAATTTCCACATTAATAAAAAATTATAATAAGGACCTCTCCACGCAGGAAAAATACCGTCTGCTCTCAATAAATATAATTCAATGCTGCAAACAATTCAAAATTAAGTACATATATATAAAACCTTAAAACATTGTGCAGAATTCGCAAATGCAGGTCTGTGTTTATTTCTTTGGATCATTCGTATACATTGGTGATTTTCTTTAATCCAAATATTACGCGGTGATTTATATTTGCGACAGTTTCGCACATTGAATACAAAACAACGACCTTGTGACGACAGCGAAAGCTACTCAATGTCAAAATGCACCACAAGATGTTTCTCTGACGAATTGTTACGAAAAGCAGGCTGCTTGTTACCATACGTCGCCAGTGAGTTTATTTTCCTCCATTTAAAATA